GATGAAGAGTTTGAAGGATTTTGTGCATTTTTTGTCTGAGTTGTTTGATTTGACGAAGAAATTTGGTTTATAATATCAGTATTATTTACACCAATCCAAACATATTTTTGTGTATCGAGAACGTAAACATCTTTATTAGAAAATTCTCCTGTCGATGTTATAGTTCCTGGATAAATAATTTTTAGTAAATTTTTTGTAAAATGAAACTTAAAAATAATATACTTTTTTACTTACCAAACGCAATAACCATATAATTTTGATAAAATACAGCGGAATGAAATGCGAGTGGGTTTGGAGTGTTGGATGGAGAAATATTCGGTATAGACCACATCCAATTACTTGTATTTAAAACTGCAAGATGAGGAAATACTTGTGCGAATTGCATGGTATCTATCGTACCGCCATAAATAATAACATCTCCATTTTGATCTTATGAAATATTAAAAAAAAAAATAAATTACTAAAAAAATTAATATTTTACTTATTAATAATTTAGATACTTACTTAAAACAGCCGTATGACCCATGCGACTTCCAATAAGATTACCGCTGGCTGTCTAAGTTATAAAATATAATAAAATTTATATTAGAAAAAAAAAAAGTTGACTTTTATGCTTAACAATTTGTAATATAATTTATGTATTGTAACATACTTTAGTCGACCAAATATAATAATTTGTATCAAACGTTCGAATCTGTGTTTAATATAATTATTAAAATATATCAAGAACAAAAATAATTTAAAATAGTAATATTATATAGTCATGCCTCACTCATATTCACAAGTTTTAAAGGAATGTTTCCTGTTAAATTATTATGATCAAATCCGCCAATATAAACAATAAGTCCATATGGCAACAGTGTAGCAGTATAAGCAGAATATATTGGAGCTTGAGGTATAATTAAAGTTGACCATGACATTGTAGTAATATCAAGTATATTCATGTCATTATAATACATGAACGGTGAATTGTCACTAATATTAGCTTTAAAATTCTCCCCTCCGAAAATAAAAACCTTCCCTTTTTTATCAATTACTGCTTGTATTAAATTACGTGTATTAAAACTGTTATTAAAATTAGTAATATTCGGAATTGTCCATAATGAATTATTATTAGGATCAAATCTAAATATTGCAGAAGAAAAGGAGATATTGTACGTGTTTGGAAGATACTGCCTTCCACCAATTAAAAAAACGGCAGAATTATTAGTAGAGCTTACGCAAGATGTAGCAAAATGAATTCCTCTTGGAATTTTCACATCTTGATACCATGCAGGTGTAGCTGTATCAAATAAGCTCGAATTTGATAAATCAAGATACCATACTTCATTAGTAACATTTAAAACTGTCGAAATTCCACCAAAGAAATAAAGCCTAGTACCGACTAGTGCACTAGTTTGTCCAATTCGACCATGTATAAGCAGACAAGTCACCAAAAAAAATCGAGAACTTTGTAACAAGAAAGAAAAAAGAACAATTTGAAAAAGCCTCATTAAAATAAATTTATAACTTTGAAAAGAAGCAAAAATGATAAAGTTTTAAAGTAATAATTCACAAAAATTTTTCATATAAATAATATAAAATTTACAATAATGTGTTGGCATTTATAAAAAGATAATAAATTTGAGACTGATTTAGAGCGTATTTAAGAATGAATACATCTAAAAAGGGTACATTTAAAGCACGTATGTACGTACGTACGTACATTAGATACCCGAATTCATGTATAAAAATTCATGCTGATATTATCGTAACATAACATGCGTCAAAATGGTGTTTATGTATGACAGATTTTAACAAATCAGAAATAGGGCACTTAAATTCTTAAAGCGAATTAGGGTTAATAAATAGGTTCATGTTAGGATAGCCTTTACTTCAAAAAAATATATATTTCTTTTTTATTTCTTTTTTTGTAAATTTTCAAGAGTATGTATGCGCATGTACATAAAGTGTTTATCTCTATTTTTGTGTATAAGTTATAATTTGTGTTATCGTATTATCGTACGTACGTATGTACAGTACTAGTACGACTGTACACAAATTAGGTGATCTTATATTACAAGACCTTGTTATAACATTTTTTTTTCCGAAAAATTCTAAAAAATTTTAAATTTACTAATTCCATGAAATAGGGGTGTTATTTTGAAATGTGCTATTTTTTTTAATTCTGAAATCCCTCCCTCAACAATATATGTGTGGCAATTAACGCAAAAGATTTATTATACAATGCAAAGATACAGAAATCTATCTATATATAAACTTTTTAACAAAAACTGTACCTTAAAATAAAATTTATTAAATCTATTAAAAATTTATTTAAAATTATATTCAATTAAGTCTTTAATAGATATGAAAGTTTTCACTTTCATAATTTTGGTTTTACAGGTAAAGCAATCTTTTAATAAAATCTAATGTATGCGTTTACAATAAGTGTTAGACTCTAGATCAAAGAACATTTATAATGTTCTAGAAATATTGTTTAGCGTAATTATAATATACATAAGTACATAAATAGGTCCTTAGAAGTTAATCAAAGTATTATTTGTAAAAATGCTGCCAAGAATCTATATATGAAATATTCTATTCATTATATTCACGTATTTATATAAAAACATCTAAATTCAATATGCTTTTTTATTAAATAATTAAATAATAAAGATTTCTACCACTAGCGTTATAGCACAATCGGGAATCGTTTTTCTTCCTCCAAATGGTGGATCATGGGTTAATTGTACTACTGATATAACAACTGTCAGCTATCAAAGTAAGCATTTAATAAGTTTATTGCATTCAGATTAATCACTAAATCTAAAACAATAACAAATCAATTATAGATATTAGCGTTAAAACTGTTGATTTTTCGTTGCCTGTAACTGCTGGTTTTGGTTTTAACTTAGCGGGAAACTATTCTTATGATCGCATCCAAGGCATCGGTTTTGAAGTATCTTCATACACTGAAAATCCAAATATTGGGATGACTATCTCTGAAATGAATGCACTTGCTTCTGCCAATGATACTACCTATTATTGTGATACACTTGAATTTTATACTACTCAATGCGATGACAAATTTAAAGGGTTCCCTTCACCAGATGAAGCCGATCAACAGTGGTGCATAGCTGTAACAAACCCATT